CAAACTGCCACACCTATTAGGCTTGCCAAACAGCCACACGTATCAGGCATGCCAAACAGAAACACCGATGAGGCATTTTCAACAGCCACACCTATCATCCATGCCAAACAATCACTCCTTTTAGGCTTGTCAAACAGCTACACCTTTCAGGCATGCCATACTGCCACACGTATAAGGCATGCCAAAAAGCAACACCTATCAGCCATGCCAAATAGCCACCCTATCATGCATACTAAACAGCCACACCTATCAGGCATGTCAAACAGCCACACATATCAGGAAAGCCAAACAGCCATACCTACCAGGCATGCCAAACAGCCACAACTATCAGACATGCCAAACAACCACGCCTATCAGGCATGCAAACAACCATGCCTCCCAGGCATGCAAGACAGCCACCCCTATCAGTCATGCCAAACATCCACACCTATCAGGCATGCCAAGCAGCCACCCTATCAGAATTGGAAAACAGCAATGCCTACCAGGCATGCAAAACAGCCACCCCTATCAGGCCTGCCCAACAACCACACCGAACAGGCATGCCAAACTGCCACACGTATCAGGCATGCCAAACAGCCACGCCTATCGGGCCTGCCAAACAGCCACACCTATCAGGCATGCCAAACAGCCACACCAATCATACCAAACAGCCAAAACTATCAGGCATGCCAAACAGCCACCCTATAAGGAATGCCAAACAGCCACACCTATCAGGCATGCCCAATAGCCACACATATCAAGCATGCCATACGGCCACACCAATCAGCCATGCCAAACGGCCACACGTATCAGGCATGCCAGACAGTTACGCCTATCAGGCATGCCAAACAGCCACCCCTATCAGACATGCCAAAGAGCCACACCTATCAGGCATGCCGAACAGCCACACCTATCAGGCAAGCCCAGCAGCCACACCTGGCATGACAAACACCCACACCTATCAGGCATGCCAGACAGCAACACCTATCAGTCATGCCAAGCAGCCACCCTATCAGGCATGCCCAAAAGCCGCACCTATCAGGCAGGCCAAGCAGCCACCCTATCAGGGATGCCAAACAGCCACCCCTATTAGCCATGCCAAACAGCCACACCTATCAGGCATGCCAAACAGCCACACCTATCAGCCATACGAAATAGCCACATTTATCAGGCATGCCAAACAGCCACCTTATCAGGTATGCCAAACAGCCACACCTATCAGGCATGCCCAATAGCCACACATATCAGGCATGCCATACGGCACACCAATCAGCCATGCCAAATGCCCACCCTATCAGGCATGCCAAGCAGTTACGCCTATCAGGCATGCCAAACAGCCACCCCTATCAGCCATGCCAAAGAACCACACCTATCAGGCAAGCTGAACAGCCACACCTATCAGGCAAGCCCAGCAGCCACACCTGGCATGACAAACACCCACACCTATCAGGCATGCCAAACAGCCACACCTTTCAGGCATGCCAAACAGCCAAACATATCAGGGAAGCCAAACAGCCACACCTTTCAGGCATGCCAAATAGCCTGCCTCTCGGCCATGCAAAACAACGACGCCTATCAGGCATGCAAAACAGCCACACCTATCATGCATGCCAAAACAGCCACACATATTAGCCATGCTAAACAGCCACACCTATCAGTCATGCCAAACAGCCACCCCTATCAGTCATGCCAAACAGCCACACCTATCAGGCATGCCAAACAGCAACACCTGTCCGTTATGCCAAACAGCCACAACTATCAGGCATGCCAGACAACCACGCCTATCAGGCATGCAAAACAGCCGTACCTATCACACCTGCCAAGCAGCCACCCTATCAGGCATGCAAACACCCACACCTATCAGGCATTCCAAACAACAACACCTATCAGCCATGCCAATCAGCCACACCTATCGGCCATACCTAACAGCTATACCTGCCAGGCATACAAAACAGCCACACCTATCAGGCATACAAAACAGCCAAACCTATCAGGCAAGCCAAGTAGCCACCCTATCATGCATGCTTAACAGCCACACCTATCAGGCATGCCAAACAGCCACACATATCAGGGAAGCCAAACAGCCATACCTACCAGGCATGCCAAACAGCCACAACTATCAGACATGCCAAACAACCACGCCTATCAGGCATGCAAAACAGCCACACCTATCAGCCATGCCAAACAGCCACACCTATCAGGCATGCTAAGCAGCCACCCTATCAGAATTGGCAAACAGCAATGCCTACCAGGCATGCAAAACAGCCACCCTTATCAGGCATGCCCAACAGCCACACCGAACAGGTATGCCAAACTGCCACATCTTTCAGGCATGCCAAACAGCCACGCCTTTCGGGCATGCCAAACAGCCACCCCTATCAGGCATGCCAAACAGCCACGCCTATCAGGCATGCCAAACAGACACAACTATCAGGCATGCCAAACAACCACGCCTATCAGGCTTGCAAAACAGCCACACATATTAGCCATGCCAAACAGCCACACCTATCAGCCATGCAAAACAGCCACGCCTATCGGGCATGCCAAGCAGCCACAACAATCAGCCATACCAAACAGCCACAACTACCAGGCATGCCAAACAGCCACACCTATCAGGAAAGCCCAACAGCCACATCGATCAGGCATGCCAAACAGAACTACCTGTCAGGTATGCCAAACAGCCATACCTACCAGCCATGCCAAACAGCCACAAGTATTAGGCTTGCAAAACAGCCACACCTATCAGGCATGCCAAATGGCCACACGTATGAGGCATGCCAAACAGCAACACCTATCAGGCATGCCATACAGCCACACCTATCAGGCATGCCAAACAGCCACACCTGTCAGGCATGCCAAACAGCAACACCTATCAGGCATGCCAACAGGCACACCTATCAGGCATGCCAAATGGCCACACGAGTCAGGCATGTCAAGCAGCCACACCTGTCAGTCATGCAAAACAGCCATACCTTTGAGGCATGCTAAACAGGCACACCTATCACGCATGCAAAACAGCTACCCGATCAGGCATGCCAAACTGCCACACCAATCAGGCATACCAAACAGAAAGACCTATCAGGCATGCCAAACAGCCACACCTTTCAGGCAAGCCAAGCAGCCACGCCTATCAGGCATGCCGAACTGGAACACACATCAGGCATGCCAAACAGCCCTTCCGATCAGGCATGCCCAACAGCCACACCTCTCGGGCATGCCAAACAACCACACATATCAGGCATGGCATACGGCCACACCTATCAGCCTTGCCAAACCGCTACACCTATCAACCATGCCAAACCGCCATACCTATCAGGCATGCCAAACAGTCACCCTATCAGTTTTGCCAAACGGCCACCCTATCTGGTATGCCAAACAGCCACACCTATCAGGCATGCCAGATAGCCACACATATCAGGCATGCCAAACAGCCACGCTTATCAGGCTTGCTAAAAAGCCACACCTATCAGCCATTCCAAATAGCCACACCTAATAGGCTTTCCAAACAGCCACACTTATCAGGCATGCCAAAGGGCCATACGTATCAGGCATGCCAAACAGCAACACCTCTCAGCCATGGCAAACAGGCACACATATCAGGCATGCCATACAGCCACACCTATCAGCCATGCTAAACAGCCACGCCTATCAGGCATTCCAAGAAGCCACGCCTATCACGCATGCCAAACTGCCACACCTATCAGACATGCCAAACAGCCACCCGTATCAGCCAAGCCAAACAGCCGCACCTATCAGGCATGCCAAACAGCCAAACCTATCAGCCATACAAAACAGCCACAATTATCAGGCATGCCAAACAGGCACACCTATTAGGCATGCCAAACAGGCACACCTATTAGGCATGCCAAACAGCCACACCTATCAGGCATGCCAAACAGCCACACCTGTCAGGCATGCCAAAAAGCCACACCTTTCAGGCATGCAAAACAGGCACACCTATCAGGCATGCCAAACAGCCACCCTTATCAGGCATGCCAAATAGCCACACCTATCAGGCAAGCCCAGCAACCACACCTGGCATGCCAAACAGCCACACGGATCAGGTATGCCAAACAGAAACACCTATCAGGTATGCCAAATAGCCTCACCTATCAGCCATTCCAAACAGCCACACCTAATAGGCTTGCCAAACAACCCTACTTGTCAGGCATGCCAATCGGCCACACGTATCAGGCATGCCAAACAGCAACACCTATCAGCCATGCCAAACAGGCACACCTATCAGGCATGCCAAACAGCCACACCTATCAGGCATGCCATGTTGGTGAGAGAAGGCTATTAGCAGATGATTCAATGGCTCCTTCAAAAATTATGCAGCACTTTGAAATGACGCCCAAAAAACTCGCGACTTTCGGAAAGCTATATCCGAAAATCCAATCTGTGAACTAATATGAACATCGAACTTGGACCACCTCCCTTTGTGGTCAACCACATTTCGTAGGATCCTCCCTCCCTTGTGATTGGTCCTAACCCCCCCTTCCCTTCCAACCTTCCCTTCCTAGCTCATCTCTCTCTTCCTATGTAATGTCTTTGCTTCATCAACAAACTCAACCTTTCTGTTTCTAACATGGTAAAGAGCAATAATGGCTCACGCAACCTTTTAATCCCGATCCTTCCCCACGCTTCCGCCTTATCCCCTTCTGACGTGCACCTCATTGCCGTCCCCTCTATCACCGCTGCTAGACTCCTAGCCGCCGCCTCTCTTTCCCTTCACAACTAGTTTTCTGTTGGGTGGATTTTCAAACACCCCCAATGCGCCAAACGCCATAGCTCGCTTGCTAATTGACAGAATTGAGTGATTCGACTTGCAAAAGAACTTTCTTGGTGTCAGCTACAACGTCGTAAAATTTCATACAGTTTCACCAATTGGATTGTCGGATATCGCTTTCCGAAGTTCGCGCACTTTCCTAGATGTGATCACAAAGTGCTACTGAATTTTCCACCAAGTCCTACTTTCACCAGCTAACTGCCATCTTTCCCCATCATCTAACTGCCATCAGCTAGCAGCAGCAGCACCAAAAGGAGCAGCAGACGCAGCAGCAGCAGCAGAAGGAGCAGGAGACGCAGCAGCAGTAGCGGCAGCAGCAGCAACAGCAGCACCAGCAGCAGCAGCAGCAGCAGCAGCAGCAGCAGCAGCAGCAGCAACAGCAGCAGCAGCAGCAGCAGCAGCAGCAGGGGCAGCAGCAGCAGCAGCAGGGGCAGCAGCAGCAGCAGCAGGGGCAGCAGCAGCAGCAGCAGCAGCAGCAGCAGCAGCAGCAGCAGCAGCAGCAGCAGCAGCAGCAGCAGTAGGAGCAGCAGCAGTAGCTACAGCCATCCCCATTCTCCCCTCCCCTTTGAGCCGCCGCGGGTCCACCCGCCGCCGCTCCTTCCCGGCCACCGCGGGTCCACCCGCTGCGCCTTCCTCCCTCTCCGTGTCACCAATGGCATCCTTTCCCCCTCGTGTCGATGTCTCGACCCTCGATCATTTGGTGCGCGCTGCGAACAACTCAGCAACTAACTGGTATTCCTTCGTCGGCAGCCTCTGTTAGAAACAGAAAGATTCAGTTTATTGATCAAGCAAAGGCATTACATAGGAAGAGAGAGATGAGCTATGAAGGGAAGGTTGGAAGGGAAGGGGGGGTTATGACCAATCACAAGAGAGGGAGGATCCTTCCAAATGTGGTTGACCACAAGTGGGAGGTGGTCCAAGTATGGTGGACCACAAGTGGCTTAGGCAACCCACTTGTGGTGCCCCCACAATTGTTGTCCTTGTGTTTGGGGGCTCCAACCACAATTGGGTTGGATTGACACCCCAACACAGGTGTACACCCAACTAGGTATGTAAACACAATATACACAACTAGCATAGCATGGTATATTCTAACAGCCTCCACCGCGTCCTCGGCAGTGCATATGTCCTGCTGTTCCGCCTCCTGGACATCATACTTGGTCTCCCAGAGGGTGACCTTGGGGACCCGACGCTCACCCTGGCGATCCCCCCCCTCTCATTCCCCATCCCGGCGAGGAGCCTCTGCCCCCCGTGGTACCCGTTGGCACCAGCACTCGCACTGCCGCCGCTGAAGTTGAGCAGCTCTTCGTTACTCAGCGTCGTTAGTTCCTCGTGCTCCATACTGATTACCTGATCGCGTTGGAGGAACACGAGCGGTCGGCCACCCTCCGCAATCAGCATGCTGCTACCGCCGCCGCTTATGCCGCTGACTCTGCGCGATTTGCCGAGTGTAGTCGCGCTTGGCTCGAGGCGGACAGCCGTGCTACTGGTGCCCTTCTCCTTGCCATCCTGTCTGCGCTCATGCGCAACTTCCAGGCACGTCGCATCGGCTCCCGCCAGATCTGGCTCGAGCTTGAGGCGATGTTCGAATGCACCGACTTCGACGCTGTCGGACCGCTCTTCAAGGAATACTTCAGCATCACGATTGAAAATAGTGCTGGCGCTGTTGACTACACCAGCCGTCTCCTAGACCTTGCCTCCCGCCTAGAGGCTCGCCAGATTACTCTCCCCTCCAACCTCCAGATCTACCGTCTCCTCGAAGGCCTCTCCTGTCAGTATGAAGTGCGCGTCATCGCCTTCACTGAGGCTCAGCCCCGCGCCTCCCTTGACACTGTGGTCCAGTGGATCATTGACGCTGAGGCCCGCCTTCTCTCAACCCCCCCCCTCTGGCTTGAACTCCACCGAGTCCCAAAACCCCCAGCTTGCAGTCGCACAGCCGCGTCGTGGCGGGCACCCACGTGGCGGCCGCACCAACCCTCAGGGAGGGGGTGGAGGTGGTGGTTGTGGGGGCAACGGAGCCAGCGGCGGTGGTGGCGGGATCGAGGGTGGCAGCAGTGGTGGTGGTGGAGGCAGTGGTGGCTCATCTGGTAGCCGTGGTGGTCGCCCTGGCACTCTCCCCCCATGTTCCTATCTTCGTTGTTTTGGTCCCAGGGCGGGTGAGCGCTGCACCCAAACCAACCATCCCCCCGCGACCTGCTTCAAGGCGTATGATGACGCCTGGTTCGAGCGCGGCAACACTGGCACACCCCCACGCTGGTCTGCCATGGATCCCCGCCCCTCTCTCCAGGATGTCAAAACTCTTCCGTCTTTCCTCCCCTCTCATCTTCAGCTCTCCTCCTCCTCCTCCTTCTCTGTCGCTGACCCCATAACTCCCCAGGAGCTGCAGCAGTTTTTCTGCTTCCAGCAGCTGCAGCTGCACCAGCAGCTGCAGCAGCAGCAGCAGTGGGGCTCTGGTGGTCAGGCTGCAGCCGCAGCCGCGGCTGCAGGAGCTGCAGCCGCAGCATCTGCATGGCAGCAGCAGCAGCTTGGCTTTGGCACCGCCGTCATGGCTGCCACAGCCACAACAGGTCCTCCTGGCTTTCCCCTCTGGAGCTCTCCTTCCCCTAGTGCTCCCACCTCGCACTCCAGCTTTCTAGGCGAGCTCATGCATTCTTCCCCTGCTCCCATTTCCATGTATCCCTCTGTTTTTAATGCCAGTGATTTCCAGTACCCCATGTCTTCAGCTCCCTCCTCGCTCCCGATAGACTTTTGTCTCGATACTGGTGCCACTGAAACTGCCCTCAAAGACGGCGGCACCTTCACCTCCCTCCCTTTCCCCACCAACGTTCATGGCGCTGATTCCAGCTTCTCCGTCCCTTGCACTCATCTCTCCACCCTCCCCTGCTCCCCCTTCCCCTCCGGAGTGGTCACTGGTCTCCACATTGTAAGAAATAGAGTTGAAATGATTGATTAGGAAAGAAGCCCAAGGCTCTATAAGTACATGGCAAGGTGAGAGTGAATGGATGAAGGGGGAATTGGAGGGAATCCCCATTGGGATCTCCGGAATCTCCAATTGGGTAATTGGAGATTGGGGGGATCACAATTGGGTGAGGTTGGGATTTGTGAGTACACCCCAACCCACTAGAACATTCATAACCTAAACAAGGATATAAAAGTACAAATACAAAAGTGGTATTTGCAGCTATTTCTAACACACCCCCATAGACTGCAAACCCGGTCAAGGAGCACATAGCCCCATGGAACGGAGAAGGGGATGGTGGTCAGCCTTGTCGAGAGCCTTGGTAAAGAGGCCGGCGAGGTTGCAATCTGAGGCGATGTACCGTACCGTCAGCTGGTCACTCTGAACAAGATCTCGGATGAAGAAATGACGAAGTTCGATGTGCTTGGTGCGAGAGTGGAACACAGGATCCTTGGTGAGATGAATGGCACTCTGGTTGTCACACCACAGGGTGGGCGACTGCTGGGGGTAGCCTAACTCAGCGAGGAGAAAGGAGAGCCAGCGTGCCTCTTGAGCAGCCATTGTGCCCGCGTAGAGCTCGGCCTCGCAGGACGACAGGGAGACTGCAGAGGACCGAGTGGAGCGCCAGCTGATGACTCCGCTACCAAGGGTGAAGCAGTACCCTTGGGAGGAGCGTCTGTCAGTCTGGTCATCGGCCCATGAGGAGTCTGTGTATCCCTCGAGCTTGACTGGAGAGGTACCACCAAGAGTGAGGATGTGAGACTTGGTGGCTTGTAGATAGCGGAGGACCCTCTTGGCTGCAGACCAATGCGAGGCAGTGTAGCGTCCGGGGGAGACGTACCGAGAGAGGATACTAACCTCTCCCCAACCCTTGGCATGTGGGAATAGATTGCCCCAAACAACGGTAACCCAACGTAATCCAGGTGGTTTGCCTAAGAATACCCGGGGTAAGGGGTGCTCCACCTCTCCCCTACCCTTGGCATGGGCTATCTGGTTGCCTCAAGCGACGGTAAGCCAACGTAATCCAGGTGCTTGGCGTAAGAAGGTTAGGCGGAAGTGGCTTTTCACCTCTTCTCACTAATCTATGAGGAGGACGGTTGCTTGAAAAGTCGGTAAGCCAAGGTAATCCGAGGCCTTTCCATAGTAATAATTCAGGGAGAGGAGAACTGGCCCTCAAACCACAAGCAAGGCGGATTACCTAGGTATGAATTGGAGCTTGTCATGAGGTCCTATGAGGCACCGGCCCGGGCCACGGAGGGCGGCACTCTGTGATCCGGGGGAGCGTCCCGTGAGACATGCGCATGGACTCGCTTTGGAGGGTTGGTGCGCACAGACCCCAGCAGGGGGGCCGGGAAGCTCTCCAGGTGCGGAGGATCACCTGGTAAAATGGGGAGAGGAGGAACTGGCCCTCGAACCACATGCAAGGCAGATTACCCAAGGAGGACGGTTATTCTTTGGGTCCGCTCGGTCCCTACAAATTTCTTGACACTGGTTATATGCGGTCGGTCTCCTATCCCAATCCGCCTGTGGCTAGGTGGCCCTCCCTCGTTGCGAGGCGGCGTCATTGACCCCTGGGTTGGGGAGGGTAGGATTCAGGCCCATTGGAACCAGGGAAAAAGAGGAGGACCCAGTCGGAGAACTCCCCGCAAGGGGTCTGAACCGAATGGGTGCTCGACCACTGCCATAAAGAAGTTGATGTCGGTGCAAGTGGCAAAACTCATATGCAGTGGTTGAGACGGTCGACTCTTTTTCAGGGGGAAAGCTCGAAGCTCACTTGAGGCCAAAAACCTGGAATGAGACCCATGTTGACTGTGGACGATCTTGATTGGACGCAGGATGATGCACGGGTCCCTGAACATGTTAGTAGGTCAAGGACGGTGTGTCCTAGAGTTTTCTTAACATGGAATGACAATCGGAAGCATGGTGATGCCACGTGGGAGTTAATGCTTTCGTAGTGCATGGGAGAAATCGCCGGACTGTTTCAGTTACGGTGGATGTCTCTAGCATCGTGTCTTTCCACTCACGACGAGAAGGCTCGACCGCAATGTCGGGTCTGGGTTGGTAGTGCCTCTGGTTTGAGTGTCAGACTTCAGTCTGTCGCACTCGGTAGATGTAACCCAACTCGTATCTTGTTGTGGCTGCAATGGGATGGCTCGGTGGCAACGCCGGGTTCTGTGCTGGTTGTTTCTCTGGTTTGAGCGTGAGGCCTCGGTCTGTAGCGCTTGGTAGAGAAACACAGCCCACTCACATCTCGTCGTGGAGGTTGAGGAAGCCCGTCTCCTTAGCCACTCGGATACGTGAAAGGCAACGCTTGCTCAAACTGGAAGCCAGTGTGTGGCATGTTAAAGTCCCGTACCTATAATCTAACAAATGAGCACCACACCAAAAAAGGGGAAGGCGCTAAGAGTATGGAAAAAGGGTTGATGTTGCCCTTGGTCATGCCCCTAAAAGACAAGATGGAGCCCAAGGCGAGTACCCTGGGCCAAGCTGGTGGATACTGGGACACTGGTGGAACGGATTAAACCAAGCGATGTCGAGTACCATATCTGAGCCCGATACGTAAGAGGGGCATACCGAACTGAGCCAAACGGCCACTGGGGCCCGAATCTTACCTACCCAGCTTTATGCGGAGGTGGTTGAATCGGTGCAAGGCAACCAGCCGGGGCGGCACATCCGTTAAACGATAACACGGGTGTCCTAAGGCGAGCTCAACGAGAACAGAAATCTTGTGTGGAGCAAAGGGGCAAAAGCTCGTTCGACTTTGACTTTCAGTACAAATACAAGCCATGAAAGCGGGGCCTATCGATCCTTTAGCTCTTCGGAGCTTGAAGGTAGAGGTGTCAGAAAATTTACCATAGGGATAACTGGCTTGTGGCAGCCAAGCGTTCATAGCGACGTTGCTTTTTGATCCTTCGATGTCGGCTCTTCCTATCATTGTGAAGCAGAATTCACCAAGTGTTGGATTGATCACCCACCAATAGGGAACGTGAGCTGGGTTTAGACCGTCGTAAGACAGGTTATTTTTACCCTACTGATGCACCGGTTCCGCGACAGCAATTCAACTTAGTACAAGAGGAACCGTTGATTCGCATAATTGGCAATTGCGTCAGGCCGGTCGGCCTGCGGCGCGAACCTACCATGCGCCGGATTATGACTGAACGCCTCTAAGTCAGAATCCAAGCTGAAAGCGTTATTACATTCTCTGGGCTCACCCTAGCTAAGAATAGGGGACGCTTCGTGCGCCCCCAAGAGCATATGCCGAGACGCTCGTGGAACAAGAGCGGCAACCGTTTCAGGAAAACTAATCATTTGCAGACGACTTAAACCGAACGGGGTATTGTACGCCGCAGAGTAGCCTTGCTGCTACGATCCGCTGAGATTCAGCCCTTGTTCTTGACCCCCCCTCCTCCCACCCTAAACGCCTGGGGCTTAGGGAGGTGGGGGGGGGGCCGCACGCCTGTGAGGAAGGGCGGCGGGCAGTTGGCATTCGAGAAGGGCAAGGGCGCCCGAGGGCGAGGGCGCCGGCTGGTTGGGTTGGTCGGTTGGCCCATCGGGAGGGTTGGGTCCCCGGACCCCTCCCTCCTCCGATGGGGCGGGCTGCCGTATTAGAAGGGCAGGGTTTCCATTCCACCCCCCTTGACGCTACGGGGGTCGAGGCAGACTGCCTATGGGGGACCGATGCCGGGATTCGTCCTGGCGGCGCGTTACCTCCAATGGTACATGCCTCGGCATCAGTGCCGACTGTGGGGGTTACGTGTTACCTCTCCCTCTAATGCCAATGCCCGTTCGAGTACGGCTGTCCCCGAAACGGGGCACGCGCTTCAACGGTGATCGGTGCGGGGTTTTTGCGGAGCACCGCACATGCTAGGTACTGCCAGCCCGGACCGCCTACCCTCCGCAACACGGGTGAAGACTCGGGCGCTAGAGGGTTCCCCCCAGGGGCTCGCAGGTGGATCGGCGTGGGAAAGGGGGCCTGGTTTCCTCCTGGGATCTTCTTAAAGCCCAAAAAAAAAATAAAAAAAATCCACCCCCATTGCTCGGCCGCCCGCGAGGATAGGATCGATATAGAAGGGGCGCCTCTCTTTTGGAACCCCCGATCGTGCATACGGATGATGACTGACGGAATAAGGAATTAAGGAATCAAGGATAAAAGGGGGGAGGCTTTTAAAAAAGTTTGGGGGGTTTTGGCTTCTAGGGTTGGGAGTTAGAGGGTCTCCCGGGTCCGAATGGGGCTCGGTCGATCGATTCGGATCCGGATGGGGCCGGATTCGGATGGGTTCGATCGATCGATCCGGATGGGTCCGGTCGATCGACCCGGGGCCGGATGGGTCCGGTCGATCGATTGGGGTCCGGATGGGGTCCGGTCGATCGATGGGGGTCCGGATGTGGCCTGGTCGATCGAAATCGGATACGGATGGGGCTGGATTCGGATGTGTCCGGTCGATCGATTTGGGTCCGAATGGTGCCCGGTCGATCGATCCGGAACCGAATGGGGCTGGATTCGGATGGGTCCGGACGATCGGCCCGGGACCGGATGGGGTCTGGTCGATCGATTCGGATCCGGATGGGGCTGGATTCGGATGGGTTTGATCGATCCGATCCGGATGGGTCCGATCGATCGATTCGGGTCCGGATGGGGCCCGGTCGATCGATTCGGATCCGGATGGGGCTGGATTCGGATGGGTCCGGTCGATCGATTCGGGTCCGAATGGGGCACGGTCGATCGATCCGGATCCGGATGGGGCTGGATTTGGATGGGTCCGGACGATCGGCCCGGGTCGGGATGGGGTCCGGTCGATTGATCGGGGTCCGGATGGGGTCCGGTCGATCGATGGGGGTCCGGATGGGGCCCGGTCGATCGAAATCGGATCCGGATGGGGCTGGATTCAGATGGGTCCGGTCTATCGATTTGGGTCCGAATGGGGCCCGGTCGATCGATCCAGATCCGGACGGGTTCGATCAATCTGGATCTAGATGGGTTCAATCGATCCGATTCCAAATGGGTTCGATCGATCCGCACCCGAATGGGTTCGATCGACTCGGATCCGGATTGGTTCAATCGACTCGGATCCGGATCGATTCCATCCGAATGGATTCGATCGAACCGGATCCGGATGGGTTTGATCCAAATGGGTTCGATCGATCCGGATCCGGATGGGTTCGATCGATCCGGACCCAGATGGGTTCGACCTGAATGGGTTCAACTTATCCGGATCCAAATGGGATCGATCGACTCAGATCCAGATGGGTTTGATAAGGATGGGTTCGTTTCGAATAGGTTCGATCGACTCGGATCCGGATGGGTTCGATCGATCCGGATCCGGATGGGTTTGGATCTTAAAGGGTTCAATTGATCCGAATCTGAATGGGTTCGATCGATCCGGACCCGGATGGGATCGATCCGGACCCGGATGGGTTCGATCCAAATGGGTTCGATTGACTCGGATCAAGATGGGTTCGATCCGAATGGGGTTGATTGACAAGGATCCGGGTGGGTTCGATTGATATGGATCCGGATGCGTTTGATAAGGATGGGTTTGATCCCAATGGGTTCGATCGACTCGGATCTGGATGGGTTCGATCGATCCGGACCCGAATGGGTTCAACTGATCCCGATCCAAATGTGTTCCATCGATCCAGACCCGGATGGGTTCGATCCGAATGGGTGTGGTCGACTCAGATCCGGATGGATTCGATCGATCCGGATCCGGATGGGTTTGGACCCGAAAGGATTCATTTGATCCGGATCCGGACGGGTTCGATCGACCTGGATCCGAATGGGTTTCGATAAGGATGGGTTCTATCCGAATGGGTTCGATCGACTCAGATCCGGATGGGTTCGATTGATCCGGATCCGGATGGGTTCCATCCGAATGAGTTCAATTGTTCCGGATCGGGATGGGTTTGATCCACATGGGTTCGATCGATCCGGATCCGGATTGGTTCGATCAATCCAGATCCGAATGGGTTCGATCGATCCAGATCCAGATGTGTTCCATCCGAATGGGTTCGATCCAACCCATCCGGGGTCCAATCAGGATAGATTCCACCACTTAGGTTTCGGACGATCTTGATTGGACGCAGGATGATGCACGGGTCCTTGAACATGTTAGTAGGTCAAGGACGGTGTGTCCTAGAGTTTTCTTAACATGGAATGACAATCGGAAGCATGGTGATGCCACGTGGGAGTTAATGCTTTCGTAGTGCATGGGAGAAATCGCCGGACTGTTTCAGTTACGGTGGATGTCTCTAGCATCGTGTCTTTCCACTCACGACGAGAAGGCTCGACCGCAATGTCGAGTCTGGGTTGGTAGTGCCTCTGGTTTGAGTGTCAGACTTCAGTCTGTCGCACTCGGTAGATGTAACCCAACTCGTATCTTGTTGTGGCTGCAATGGGATGGCTCGGTGGCAACGCCGGGTTCTGTGCTGGTTGTTTCTCTGGTTTGAGCGTGAGGCCTCGGTCTGTAGCGCTTGGTAGAGAAACACAGCCCACTCACATCTCGTCGTGGAGGTTGAGGAAGCCCGTCTCCTTAGCCACTCGGATACGTGAAAGGCAACGCTTGCTCAAACTGGAAGCCAGTGTGTGGCATGTTAAAGTCCCGTACCTATAATCTAACAAATGAGCACCACACCAAAAAAGGGGAAGGCGCTAAGAGTATGGAAAAAGGGTTGATGTTGCCCTTGGTCATGCCCCTAAAAGAC